TATCAACCTCGTGTAAGCTCATCAAAGAAAGAATACATATTGATTAGTGATACCGAAGTTCAAGGAAAGTCGGTTTCGAAACACAGTCTTAGATTTTTTATTTACTGCCTATTCTTTTTAATGGCAGGGTATGTTGCGAAATATAACTTCTATAATGCTGAATATAAAGAACTAGCTGAGAGAGACAAAACGAAAGACCCGCATGGTGTGGTGGTGAACGCGTTACTACCCGGAAAGGACAATAGCGTGTTCGTTCGCCACCGCAGACACCGGCGGTCCGGACCTTTGCAAATATCTCAGCATTATAGAAGTTATATTTCGCAACATACCCTGCCATTGAAAAGAATAGGCAGTAAGTAAAAAGGTTAAGATATCAATCCCATACTCAGCAATGATTTTGATGAAATTCACCATTCTTGGTGATTTCACGGAGCGTCGAATAAACCTGCAGTACTGTTGTTCACGTCATAATGACAGAGGAAATTCAGTGTGAACCCCATTCTTCATGAAGTTTTGGTCCCACTTTTTTTTTGATTCGCAATTTTCTCTCATTTAGGCAAAGTGGGAAAGTGGATGAAGTCGGTCGCACCCAGTGTGTTTTTTTCTCAGTGCTTTATTTTCACATATAGAGCTTTTTGCCCCGCTTTTCACATTCAGTCAGTGAATTAGCCGATAATTTGACTGCTTGAACACATATATTCTACTAAGCGTGGACCGCGAAAAGCTGTTCTCTTCTCTTAACACTTTGTAAGACACTTTTCTCTAGTTCGCTTTATGGCGAGGGATCGTTGCTGGTTGTGGAAGTGCGCATCAAAGAGATTGTTGCCGGTTCCTCCGAGTCTGTGTTTGAGCGGTAACGTTTGACACGTGGGAACGCTTTCTCTCTATTATAAGATGGTAAATCACTCAGAAAACCCTTTCACACCACCTCGGTATGTACAGAGTATGTGTCCGTCAATATGTTTCAATAGTTTGTCTTTAGAAATAGTTAGAAGGCTATGTAAGAACGGCTTCTACTGATACTTTGAATGTTAACCTAAGTAGGCATTTATTGAAAAGTCATCATCTTCCATTACCTGGTGCAAATAAAAGGCCAATGTTTGAGAGCTATTTGGTTGCTGGAGCGGTTAAAGCAGCGGTAGTGATCCCGCTCATTATGCGGACGGCTCATACTATTCGGGTGCTCAAGCCAGTACAGGAGCCTTCAAGCTTCTCACACGTCTGGATCGGGAAATTGGTGCCAGACTTATCAGAGACAAACTCACTTCCTCCAATCGAGCTGGAACGCCCTAGCACGGCTGTTTAGCGACTCCAGTGAGAATTAACTCGACCA